AAATTAGCCGGGCGTGGTAGCGTGCGCCTATAGTTCCAGCTACTTGGAAGGCTGAGGTGGAAGGATCACCGGAGCCCAGTGGGTAGGGGCGGCGGTGGCTGGGAGCAGCCACTGCACTCCAGTCTGGGCAACAGAGTGAGACTCCAACTCAAAAAAAAAAAAAAAAAGAATTCCTTTGGCTCGTTGGACTCTTTTTGGGTTCCATATAAATGTTAAGCTTTTTTTTTTTCCAGTTCTGTGAAGAATGAAGTAGTATTTTGATCAGGACTGCAATGAATGTGTAGATTGCTCTGGGCAGTATGGTCATTTCAACAAGATTGATTCTTCCAATCCATGAACATGGGATGTCTTTCCATTGGTGTCATCTATGATTTCTTTCATTAGTAGCAATTCTTTTTTTTATTATTATTATAAAGATGTGGGGTACAATTCAGGATTAGGTATGCAAACATTGATTATGCAGGTACCCTTGTTGATGAAGTAGCAGCAATTCTACTACTAGGGATCTACCCAAAGGAAAATAAATCAGTATATAAAAAAGATGTCTGTACTAGTATGTTCGGTGCTACACTATTCACAATAGAAAAATGATGGAATCAATGATTGACTGGATAAAGAAAATGTGCCATATATATAATGTAATACTAATGAGCCATAAAAAGGAATGAAATCATGTCCATTGCAGCAACATGGTTGGAGCTGGAGATCACCATCCTAAGTGAACTCAGAAACAGAAAACCAAACACTTACAGGTAGAAGCTAAGGCCGGGTGTGGTGGCTCACAGCTATAATCCCAGCATTTTGGGAGGCTGAGGCAAGAGGATTGCTTGAGCTCAGGAGTTCAAGACCAGCCTGGGCAACATAACAAGACCACGTCTCCACAGAGAAATTTAAAAATTAGCCAGGTATGGCAGTACACACCTATAGTCTCAGCTACCTGGAAGGCTGAGGCAGAAGGATCACCTGAGCCCAGCAGGTCAAGGCCGTAGTGAGCTGTGATTGTGCCACTGCACTCCAGCCTAGGCAACAGAGAGAGTTCCTGACTTAAAAAAATAAAAATAGCCGGGCTCGGTGGCTCAGCCTGTAATCCCGTGCCTTTGGGAGGCTGAGGTGAGTGGATTGCCTGAGCCCGCGGGGTCG